TCCTACCTGGAGGAGGTAGTCCTGGGAGGATCCCATGACAATCCCTTCATCAAACATCATTTATGTCACGTGTTATTGGTGCTGAGAGGCAGCGATCATGTGTAGTGAAGCATACAGAGGACTGGTCTTGGGCTCAGGAAGACCTGGCCTCCCCTCTTGCTCTGACCCACGCTGACCAAATCGCTTGGACCTCTCAGGGCCCCAGACACCTCGACAGCTGTAAGTGTCAGAGTGCTTGCCAATCTGGTAGATGAAGGTACCTCGCCATCAAAATCCTAAGTCTGGGCCGAAAAGAAATATTGTCCCTCGAGGTAGCAGCGGATGGATAGGTTGGTAGGAAGCCCTGGGTTCAAATCCTGCCTCTTCCACTAACTTTGTACACTTGGGCAAGTCTCTTGACCTCTGAATCCTTCAGGATTTGACCTTCTAAATTGGGGCCGCACATATCTCGGATAGGTGTATGTTTACTCGTTTACAAATCATATACATGTACCACTGAGCATAGGTGTATAAACACACAAAAATAGACATTTAAAAAGCCCGAGATAAAAATGAAATAAAATTGGCTCAGGAGGGGGTTTTTTGAGTGAGGGGTGCCATGGTCACCCTTGAGGAAGATCAGTTTGACAGCTGACTGGGGGATGGGACCTTTGTGGCCAGGAGACCCAACAGCAGCCCGCCCACTGAAATAGTCCATGTGTGAGATGGCGAGGGTCTGTTCTAGGGCGGTGGTGGTGTCAGAGGAGAGAAGGGGGCAATGAGAGAGGTGTGGAGGCAACTCATTGGATATGGGGGGAGAGGGGAGAGCGACCCCTGGGTTGGGAAACCGCTGACTGGGAGATTTCTGTGTCTTCCACTGCCAGCTTATAAGAAGGAAAGGGAGGGGATAGGGCAAGGAGAGGAAGTCTGGCATGAGATCAACATTGAAGACCGCATCCCACCCCTGCCTGCTTATCTGGGGACACTCACTCTGTCCCAACCAAAACTACCTAGAAACTTGTGAAGCTCAGGGCCCACCTTCCCGGGGGCCTGCTGTAGCCACCAGGTGACCTAGGACACACAGCGGATGTTCTGTGAGAGGGACAGGGGATGGGGTGGCACCTACACATATAATGGCAGCGGCCCTCAGGTCATAATTAGGGTCTAGCTGTCCTGAGAGATGCAGAAGGGAGGGTTTGGGAGCTTGCACAGAAGGAGGCAGTGGGAGGGTTTGCACAGGGAAGGGTGGAGTGAGACAGAGTTGGGTGCTGAGGGTGGGTGTGGTTGTGCTGTAGATGAGCCCCCATGATGTGGGGGAGAGGGACGGGTCAGATTGATTTCTCCTGCTTCCCCTGTCTCCAATTGCTTAATCACACACCCCTTGGGTCAGGTCCCCGGAGGCTCCAGCTCCTACTTAGGAGACCACTGCTTTGTTTGGAGTTAAAGTCATAAGGTTGCCATTTGCACCGGTGGAAGGCTCCCCGAAGCTGGTGAAACTCCAGCCTGATGTCTACTAATATTGTCATTATTTTTGTTATTGTTCTCATTTATTTGTGTGGTTGCTGTCCTATCTCATTGGAGACACTCTAGTGCAGAGAAATGTGGTCAGAAATGAATTTTCGAGCTGAAAATCTTGCCTGGTGCTAACCAGAGGAGAACCAAGCCAGGCTCTTATGTAATAGTGAAATCCAAAGGTTTAAAACCTGTTTCTATATTTAGAGAAGAAATGGGCCCTCTAGTTGTTCAGCTTGTCAGATACACTTTAGAGTGAACTGGTGGCAAAGGTGATCAGTTATCCAGAAAATCTATTAACTATAAACAGCTTGTCTGGAAAGGGTGGGAGAGAGAACGGACCCAAACTGAAGGAGAAGGGGGCTTAATCCCTCTCAATTTTGCCATGTTCCTGAATCTAGTTTAAGAAAGAGACCAAGATTTAAATTCTCTCACTAATCTGACGATAATAACAGTGGTAACATCTGTGTCTTCTGAGGCCTTAGCGTGCTCTGCTAACAATCTTAGACGTCTATGGTCAATCTTAAACGTGTCCAGGTTGCATTGTATTCACTCCCTTTCCCCGTCCCTCTCCCCTCCTGCCCTTCCCCTTCATGGAAGCTCTCTGAGGGTAGGGATTTTTGTCTTTGTAACCCCAACAAGCTTAGAGAATGTCTCCTGAATCCCTCGTTTTACAGAAAAGCAAACTGAGGGCCAGAGAGGAGAAAGGACTTGTCCAAGTTTCTGTAGGTAGGAAATGAAACAGCCAAAGTTCCAATCCAGCTTCTACAGTGTGTCAGGCCCTGTGCGTACAAAGAAAAATGAAAAACAGCCTCTGCCCTCTGGGAACCAACATACTACTGGATTCTTTGATTAAATCTCCAGCACTCTTGCCGCTTCACATTGCCAGTAAAATATAGTAGCTAGGAGGAACAGTGGATAGAGCACTAGACAGGGAGTCGGGAGACCTGAGTTCCAATTCTACCTCAGACCCTTACTAGCTGGGTGATGCAAGCTAAGTCACTTAATTTCTACCTCAATTTCCTCATCAGTCAAATAGAAATAATAATAGTAACTATCTCCCTGGTCATTGTGAGGATCATATGAAATATTTGTAAAGTTCTCCACAAACCTTAACACTCTAAAGAAATGCTAGCCGTCATTATTTTCCTCTCAAACATCTCTGTCATAGAAACCATGATTTTTAATGTCCTTCTGGGGTAATAATCATGTGGTTTTAAAAATAAATTAATGACCCAGCGCATTGACTGAATTTCCCAGAAATTTGATAATGGATTAATTTCCACAGGTAGCCCAACGTAGTCCTAAAGTGATTCAATGATTCTCAGGCAAAAGCTTTGTACCCGGCAGGGTCTAAGTTTGTGAGCACCCATCTGAGAGAGCTGGTCCAACTCTTTGCCCCACACACATGATGAGGTAAACTGCCCCATCTCCGGAGGGAGAGGTGATGGACTCAAGGGGAAGGATGAGGCTTAAGTTGTTGTTTGTTTAGCTAGGCAATGGGGTTAAGCTCATTTTATTTGCTGTTTGTTAAGGTCCACTCAACCCCTTCCACCCCCGTATCCGCCCAACCCCCAAGTCTTTTTCATGGGAATTGTTGCTTGGCCATATCTCTGTCCTGGTTGAGTTTGGCCCAGTGACCCTGCCTGACAAGAGCTTTCCAATGTAATTCTGTCATCCAAACATGTTGATTCCCTGAATGACCAAAGAAAGCCTCTACATGCAGAGAAACACCAGGTCAAAGCTGGGAGTTCTAAATGGGTCAGGGCGTGCCATGGGGTCACCTGGCCGGCATTCTGCATGCGGCCTTCACTGTATTTGCCATTGGTTTGACTGGTTTTGATTCCCAGACCTGCTTCTGATGCCTGCATGAGCTTGGGGAAGGTTCTTCACCTGCACGGGCCTCAGTTTCCTTTTCTGTAAAATGAGGGGTTCGGACTCTAAGGTCCCTTCCAGCTCTAAATCTGTGAAATCAGGTTAAAAGAAATGGAGAGAGGGAAAAGAAAAGACCTCATGAAAGTGCAAAAGGCAGCAGGGGCTGTGCTAGAATGAAGAGAGAGACAATCCCCCCCCCCCCCCCGTAACTGGGAGTGAGGGCTGGACAATGACACGTATGGGGAGAGGAGCTTCAGGTCCTTCGAACCAGCTGCTGCCTTCTGCCCAGTCAGCGTGTTGCCAGGTGCCCCCTGAGTGAGGGTATCCCTGAATGAAGAATTCCAGGAAACAAAGAGCAGGTCTAGCCTAGAGCCTCTGCGTGCGGCTCCAGGATCTTCAGGACAAAAGTCACTCAAATTGTAACAGAAGTGCGCAGAGGACAGCCGCAGGAGCCAAGGGCATAGATACACACACACACACACACACACACACACACACAGCATCCCTGCCCACTGTCGGCTCCCACAACCGCCACCTGCTGCTTCCACCGGGCTTCTCAGACAGGGCCCGCCTTCCCTCCTGCGTGCTCGTGTCCAAATTCAAGTGTTCATGGATCGAAGGTCGGAGGTCTCCTAGTCCAACCCTCTCATGTTACAGATGTGGAAACTGAGGTCTGAAAAGGAGAGGTGACTGGTCCAAAGTCACACAATGTTATGATGGCAAAGATTTGAATCGAGGCCCCCTGACTCCAAGTCCAGTGGTCTTTCTTCATGAGTGAAGAATATTTAAATTTGCATGTATTCAGTCCTGATGAAAATACTTTTCCTGGAGAGTGACTAAGTAGGGCTTCTTGTTCAATAGTTTTTCAGTCATACCTGAGTCTCCGTGACCCCATTTGGGGTTTTCTTGGCAGAGATATTGGAGGGGTTTGCCATTTCCTTCCCCAGCTCATTTTACAGATGAGGAAACTGAGGCAAACAGGATTAAGTGACTTGCCCAGGGTCACACAGCTAGGAAGTATCTGAGGCTGGATTTCAACGCAGGAAGATAAGTCTTCCTTACTCCAGGCCCAGCGCTTTGTGCACTGTGGCGCCACCTAGCGGCCCTCACTGAGCAGGGCACCACCATAGAACTATGCTGTGTGACCACGAGCAAGTCCCTTTACCTCTGTCTGAGTCTCAGTTTCCTCATTTGTAAAAATGAAGTAATCGTACCTGAGGCAGCCACTTCACGGAGTTGTTTTGGGGATTTCCTGAGACTTTGTCTACAGAGCAATTTGCTGTGGGGTTCAGGTCATGTCTCCAGACCTCAGGGCCATCAGTTATAATCCAGTTCCTAGAGCCACCCCAAGAGCATCCCTCAAATTGGCTCCTGTCAGCCAGGATGATGACCATCTCTTCCTCCTGGTGCTCTCCACCCATAAATGGAAGTGGGAAGGAACCTCAGGGCCATCTCCTCTCATTTGGATCTGACCAGAAGAGCCTTCCCACTCAAAGGGTCAGAACTGGAAGGAGGAAAAAGGCCCAGAGAGAAGGGTGCGGAACCAGCGGGTCCTCTCCCACTCAGGCCTCAGCTTCCTCCTGCAGTAGTGGCTTCCGTAATGGTGACCTGACCATCTTCTGGTATTTTTATAGATAATTGGGAAGAAAGGCGCGGCCAGTGACATCCCCATCTTTGCAGATGATGCGAAACTCTCCTGGGCATGGGAACACCAGACCGGGCACATACCGTATGAAGGTAGGATGGTTCTTTGCCCCTCCGAGTATCTTCTCTGTGTCTCTCTTGCCTCTTCCCCATACAGCGAAAGCTCCATGAGGGCAGGGACTGGTCTTCTTTCTTTCAGCGCCCAGCACAACGCACGGCACAGTAGGTGCTTTAAGTGTTGTGGGAAGCAGGCTGTCAGTCACTATCTGTGGGCTTGGCTGGCCCTCCCATGGCTGCCCATGAGAACGGGCAGAGGGACAATGACTGCAGTGTCCTCGTCCAACCTCCTCACCTTACAGAGCAGGAAACTGAGGCCTGGAAAGGGGAGGGAACTTGCCTGGGGCCTGAAAATCCCAGCTCTAGGAGGGGCCTTAGGAATCATCTCATCTAACCTTCCCCTTTTACAGAGGAGGAAACCAGGGCCCAGAACAGCTAAGTGACTGGCCCCAGGTCCCACAGGAAGAAACCGCGGAGCATTAGGTCTCTGGCTCCAAATCCCAGGCCAAGAGGTGGCCCACGCTGTGATGCATAGAAGCATCCTGGGACTGGCTGGGGAACTCTCTTTGAGGACAGGCCAGTGAAACGCTGGCTCACTGGGCACTGGGGAGCTGTGAGGGAGAGCCAGGGTGAGGCTAGTTCAGGAAACCAGACGTGACTGTGGCCTAGGGCCAGGGCTTTGACTGTTCTTTCCATCCGCCTTTCCCAGCGTCTCTCAGTCCTCCCCCTTGCTGCCCTTTGGCCCCGTGGACATGAACCAGCCCTGAGTTTAGTCTGTGTACAAACTAATGCTGTTGGAACTCATGGGAGAGGGCTTGGGTGAGAAAGGACCAGTCTCTACTGTTTATTACCCATGCAACCTTGGGTGAGTCACTTCCCCAACAGGGGACAATGGAGAGAGCCCTGGCTCCCAAGTCAGATGACCTGGGTTCAAATCCTGCCCCTGAGGCTTCCCCCTGCCCCATACAGTCACTTTCTGGGTGACCTTATTATGAAGTGAGAGGGCTGCACTCTTTGACCTTTGGTCTATGATCCTGGGACCAGCCAAAGGCTCCTTCTGGGCCCCAGAAAAGGGACAGTGGGAATGAGGAGTGAGCACTGAGAGTGATGCTCTTTCATGAGGACAGCTTTCCTGGGGAGGACTTACTGTGACCCACCAGGTTTTCCCCCATGAAGTAACAGCTCTGATGATAACCTTGGCCACCAAGGACTTGCCGTCCTGGGCCCAAGGTGGCCTGCCTCCACTTTGTACCACTTTTTGGTTGTAATTTGGGGGGAGGATGGGGTGCCAGGCCTGTGCTTTTATTGGTGTGGGGATCTCCCATTGTGCAAACTCCCTCCACTAAGAGTTGCCTGGAGGCTCTGAGATGTTAAATGAGAGTCAGAGGCAAGACTTGAACCCAGGCCTTCATGACTTCAAGGCTAATTCCCCATTCCGCCAGACTCCCCCTGTCTCTTGACTGTAGTTCAACCGTGAAGTCTTTCAGAGGGCCTCTTGAAACATTTATTCTGTCCAAAATCCTCACTGAGTTCTTGAGATCAGACCCCTGGTCTTTGGGGCTCTCCTTCATCCTCTGGGAACCCCAACTGGCAAGATGCTTTTCAGATACCTGTTTACCATGTGCATTAAGATGTATCTGAACTGGGCCGAACTGAACTTTTCTGGAGGTGAGCAGCTAAATGGCCCTGGTTCTAGATCATCAGCTCTGGGGCCAGAGACTCTGGGTCTAAAGGCCACCTCTGATGCTTGCTCCCAGTGTATTTTTGGGCAAGGGGCCTCAGTTGTAAAACTCTTCATGACCCCATTTGGGGTTATCTTGGTAGAGCTACAGGAGTGGTTTGCCATTTCCTTCTCCAGCTCATTTGACAGATGAGGAAACTGAGGCAAACAGGGTGAAGTGACTTGCCCAGGGTCACACAGCTAGCAGGTGTCTTGAGGTCGGATTTGAACTCAGGTCTTCTTGACTCCAGGCCTGGTGCTCTTTCCTCTGCAGCGCCACCTAGTGGCCGCTACCAGCTCTCGCGCTCTCGCTCTCGCTCTCTCTCTCTCTCTCTCTCTCTCTCTCTCTCTCTCTCTCTCTCTCTCTCTCTCTCCCTCTCGGACCCTCTTTTAAGAGTCTTTCTCAAGCAGATTCCCAACAGAGCCTTGTGCACCAAAGGCACTTATTTACCATTACAGAGGCATTGACTAATGCTTTTGCTTCCTACTCCTCAGATGCTTCCCGTTCTTAGGCCCCCAGTTCATTTCGTCTATAAAGTGAGGGTCTGGAGGCCAGATGAGTGCTGAGGTTCCTTCTACTTCGAGATCTGAAATCTGTTTTCTGCCTGTCTTTTTTCTTACTTTGCAGCTGTCTTGTTCATTCCTTGTCCCTTTTCTTTCTGCTTCTCCTGGTAGAAGCTTAGGAAGTGTTTGCAAAATCATCCTTTTCTTCCTCATTTTACAACGGTCCTCTTGGAGAACGAAGGATGAAGAGCAGCAGTCCTGGGAGAATCCTTTAGGGAAAAAAAAGCCAGCGGGCTCTTACTGGTCCATCCGCAGCCTGGAGCCGGTGAAACCGGAGCCAGCCCCCACCTGAATAATTCAGTGACTTGTATCGATTTCTCTCTGGTGCACAGGAAAGTTCTAGGACCAAAGGGAAGGATTAATTTTCCCCAGGAAAAATCTCTGCTCTGCCCAAGTTCGTGGTGTTCTCGTACAGGCTTTCTGGGCATCTCCTTGATTAAAATATCACCACGAAGATAATAAAACTCAGGAATACCTCTGTCAGCAGAAAGATGTGCTGCAGCACAAGCAGGGCGTTGGAAGCAAGCTCGGGACTCCCAGCCCCGGAAACAGAAACAAACAACAACCAGAAGCCCCAAAGCACCTGCTCTCGTTGGCGCTTGTGGGAGCCCTCCCTGCCCTCCCCCCCCCCCGCACTGTGAACAGGGTGAAGAAGCTGGGATCAGCTCGCGGGATCACAGTGACAAAGACTCAGGGCCGGGAGGGGGCCTGCGGGGTGGCCTGCAGAAACCGGCCCAGAGAGGCGAAGTGATTCGCACACTGCTCCTACGTGTTCCAGGCAGGATTTGAGGCCAAGTCTCTTAAGAGCTGCCCTTGGCCCGTGCCCCCTCCGCTTTCCCCTCCCTGTCTTGTAGATCTCATTCACTGCCGCAGCTTCCGCTTCCACTTCCCACCAGATGCAGACCTCCACCCCGATCTCTTCGGGGCTCCAGTCTGACCTTTATTCTGGGCTCTAGACCAGCATCTCCCCTGGTCGGCAGGTCCACCCTGATGTCCCCCGTGCATCACGTTCTGAGCAGGTCCCAGCCCAAGCTCATTCCCTGCCCCGCCCCCGCCCGGACCCACCGCTCTTGACATCAGTATTTTTCCCCTTTTATGGCAGACCCCGTCTCCCCTGGATAATCTTGCCCTTACCTTTGGCTCCTGTCTCTTCCCTTTCCCAATCCGTTTAGTGGATTAGACCTCCCAAGCGTCTCTAACCTTTTTTTCCTTCCTTCTTTTACCACAGCTTGAACTATGATAGGAGCTTTCTAATTGACCTTCCTGCCTCTCCCCAACTCATCATGCCTCTGTCACAACCAGGGTGACCTTGGGCAAGTCGTTGTACTTCAGTTTCCTTTGTAAAATAAGGGGGTTGGGGGCAGCTAGGTGGTGCATCGGATAGAGCACCGGCCCTGAAGTCAGGAGGAGCTGAGTTCAAATCCAGCCTCAGACCAAACACTTGACACTTACTAGCTGTATGACCCTGGGCAAATCACTTAACCCCAACTGCCTAAAAAAAAAAAGGAGGTTGGCCAGGATGGCCTCAGGTTCGTTCCAGCCCTAGAGCTGGAATCCTCTTCATTTTCCCTATGCGCAGAAATGGTTGTTTTAATGTGCTCAAAGGTCAAAGAAGCAGCTCAAGATTTGAAATCAAAAAGACCTGGGTTTGAATCCGCACTCTGCCACTTAATAACCCATGTGACCCGAAGAAAGTTCTTTTCCCTCCCCTGGACCTCACTTTTTTTTAATTTATTTTTAGTTTGCAACATTCACTTCTATCAGATTTTGAATTCTAAGTTTTCTCCCTCTCCCTTTCCTCCCACTTCCTCAAGATGGCTGCAATCTAATATAGGCCATATGCGTAAAATCATATTAAACATATTTCCACATTAGTCATGTTGTAAAGAGGACTTGGAACCAAAGGGGAAAACCATAAGAAAGAAGAAATAAAACAAAACAAAAAAAGAAAATAATTTCCTTCATTCTGCATTCAGACTCCGTAGTTCTCCCTCTGGATGTGGATAGTATTTTCCATCATGAGTTTTTTGGAGATGTCTTGGATCCTTGCATTGCTGGGAAGAGCTAAGTCTGTCATAATTGATCGTCACACAACGTAGCTGTTAGGGTGTACGACGTTCTCCTGGTTCTGCTCACTTCACTCAGCTTCAGTTCATTTAAGTCTTCCCAGGTGTTTCTGAAGCCCGCCTGCTCATCACTTCTTAGAGCACAATAGTATTCCATTACATTCATATACCACAGCTTGTTCAGCTGTTCCCCAGTTGATGGGCATCCTCTCCATTTCCAATTCTTGACCGCTGCTAAGAGAGCTGCTGTAAACATTTTTGTGCCTGTGGTGGACCTTACTGGTTTTCGGTTTTGGTTTTGGTGAGGCAGTTGGGGTTAAGTGACTTACCCAGAGTCACACAGCTGGTGAGTGTTATGTGTCTGAGGCCGGATTTGAACTCAGCCCTCCCGACCCCGGGGCTGGTGCTCTATCCACGGTGCCACCCAGCTGCCCCGACCTCACTCTCTTTATCTGCATCGTGGACGCTCTTCCTCCTCCCCTTTGCCCCCTCTTCCCCCCTTAAAGGCTCCGCTGCAAGGTCTTCTCCCTCATGAAGATGTTCCTTGATTCCTCCAGTTGTTAGTACCTCTCCAAGTCTGTAAAATGGGGACAATACTACCTTATTCCCTGCCTCCTACTGTTGTTCCGAAGCTCGATTGAGATCATGTACATAAAGCACTTTGCAGATTTGAAAACGTACAAATT